CTACAATCACTTCCGCTACACTTTCCATACAAACCGTTAATAATTAGGGTATGAATCGGGTTTCAGTGGGTTTTCTCACAAGTCTTTCAGTCATTTAATTGTTTATAATATGGGATAAAAATATTTGGGATTTTATAAAGTTTTCTAAAAGTTTTAATTAATTATTATTTTATTTTCTAATTTAATGTTTAATTTATTAGTTGACTATTTATTGTGTATTAATTTTTATTTAAAACAATGCATTCATTTGTGAATTTGAAATGAAATAAAAAGTGATTTGAAAAAACAAACGCAAAGTATTTTAAACGATGAAAAAGTTTTGTGTCAATCATTTGTGGTTTTAAATTACATATTGATTACGATTTTAAATATGAATTAATAATAAATTATAAATTAATAATATTGTGAAATACTTACCATTGAATGCTTTAATTGGTTTTCTATTCAAGAAAACAAGTGTTTTATAGTTTTAAATTTGTTTTTATAAATATTTAGTTTTTAATGTGAAATAAATGCTAAATATTTTGAAACTCAATTCAATGAACCCTAAAATATGTGATAAAAATGACCCAAAAATATCTCGTTTTATATCAGACAGTGATTTCAATCGCAGACACGACAACACTTCCCACCGAACCGCTGGTGCGGCCAATGACTGTGACCTTTGAGAGTACGACCAGTCGGTGACCACTCGTGTGATGTATATATTCAAAGAGGACGAAGAGGTGGTGGCCGTCGACCCCCGGGAACAGGCCTTTCATAACGTGATCCGCGAACACTTGATATTCTTCATTCTACTCATTATACTGTACAGCAGTTCCTATGCTATTATCGCCAGTTATAGGCGCCGTCGGGAAGAGGTATGTCGTGACTACAAAACTACACATTTGTCTATTAATGACCACTTATTGGCCACTTTTTGCCGATTAAAACAGTTATTCATTGACGAAGAGGACGGACTCGTGTATCGTATATCCCTCTGGATGTGCACCTTCTCGCTGGCCGTCTCTATTGGAACCGCTCTTCTGCTGCCGTTCTCGATCGTCACCAACGAAGTGATTATCTTATATCCGGACAGTTATTACATCCAATGGCTGAACGACTCGCTGATCCACAGCCTGTGGTCGTATGTGTTTGTGTTCTCAAACATATCACTGTTTATACTTTTGCCGTTCGCCTACTTCTTCACGGAATCCGAGGGCTTCAGCGGTTCCCGCAAAGGCATTATGAACAGAGTGTACGAGACATTCATACTGTTGGCGCTGTTGTCGGTTCTGGTGCTGGGAATCATGTATTTGGTGTGCGCTCTGACGGGCA